ATTTTATCTGGTAATCCTTCCTCAGTTAAGAATTGTTGCATCAGGGCATTCAGAAGAGAAAGCTCAAGGGTGTTGCTTTGTTGGTTCAAGTGTAAGGAGGATAAAGAGCTATGGGGTGTGGCCTCCTGAGTTCCACCTTGAGCAAGTGAAGGCGTTCTTAAAAGCAATCTGTCCTTATGACGAAGCAAGAATGATTCAGTAGCCCTTTTAGACTTTGTCCTTCATTCTTAATGGGAGGTAAATGTTTACTAAAATGCTAGGAGAAATCAGGGCACTTGTGAGCATGAACGAAGTTTCCTAACTTTGTTTAAAGCTTTATGGTTCTATAGCTAAGGTATGGACTGTTCAAGCCTGATTCATCAATCACAAAGATCAAATAGAAAAGGAAGACTGAGCAGGCCAGAATCTCCCCTTGGGGTGATGTGTTTGTTGTTGCTGATAATTATGATGCCACACTTGTCTTACCACCTGGCAGATGCCACTGTCCAACAGTGAGCAATGATGTCATTCCAAATCCACATTTGTTTCTGACTTTTTTTTTTCCTTGCAACACCAGAGAGATCATTTGCTAAACTTACTCTGAACCTACCACCCTTTCCTTGCTTCCGTGTTCTGGCCACCCTGGCCTAGCAGTTTCTCATACACACAAGAAGTCCCCAGCTCTGGACCTTCGCACTGGCTGCCTGGAACCTTGACACCTCTTCCTCAGATACCCACCCCGCTGGCTGCCCCAAAAGTTCAGCTCTCTGCCTTCCTCAACACCACCACCACTTCAGCCCTGCACGTTCTCTGCTTTATTTTTCTCCATAGCCAGTGAAACCACCTGATACTATACTAGTTATTTATGTGTGTGTTAGGTCTTTCCAACAGGAATGAAAGTTCCAAGCAGGCAGGGGCTTTGCTGTCACTCACCACTGTTTTTAGCAATGAAGTAATAATGTCTGATGTGAAGTAAATGGTCAACAGATGTTTGCTAAATGAATGGATGAATGAAGGATGCTGTTCCCTAGCTCAAAAGCATTCAACAGTTTCCCCTGCATTTGGAACAAGATTCAACTTCCCTGTGGAAGTTCTGGTCCTGCCCACCTCCCCAGCCACATTTGTACCACAGAATTCAGCTGTGCCCTTCTCCTTTGCTCTTTGGACCTTTGTCCTCTTAGTTCCCAAACAACACAGCTTCAGGGCCTGCAGATTTGCTGTTCCCTGTGGCTGAGGTCCCTCTTAGCCCTTCTCTTTCAATTGTGGGTTCCTTTTCTTTATTCGGACCTTAGATCATGCAGCACCTCCCCAGAGAGGCCATCCCTGACCCTCTCTACCCCCAACGCTCTATCATTCTCTGTAGCGTTCATGCTTTGTGAAATCACACTACTGATGCATGCATTTTTTAAAAAATTATTATTATCTGACTCTTCTGGTTTGTAGATAAACTTCATGAGGGCAGGGGCCTTATGCATCAGATTTACTGCAAGGTCCTCGGTGCCTACAACGTGTCACAGAAAAGTAACTCAGTAAATAGTTTTTAAAATTTTTTTAAGAATGAATTTTCAAAAGTGGTAAGAGAACCATAGACCTCATTCGTGCAAGGCGACAGCTAAGATTAGACTTTAAAGAGTGTAAATTTATTTGCTTTTTATTTCTCCTTTCTTCTTATGGGAAACTGAGGGTTTAATAATGACCTCCTGATGATTGTCCTCTTTGAGGATAACACCTCAAATATTCAGTAGTGCTAAAATATGCTTCTTCGTACCTGTGTCAGAAACAACTGATGGGTCAATGATCTGGTACAGCAGGGGACTCACTACATTCTCCTAAAATGCTTCATATTTTTATGACTGATCTTTGCTGAAAAGAAACTTGCAATCACTTCTTCTGTATTTTAGGGTATGTTGTTTATCAAGATGCAAACATTTAGTACACTGGAAATAAACGAGACTCCTCACTAAAATGCTGAAAATGGCTAAAATAATTCTAAACTTTTCTTTTTATATATTTTCTACAGCTGACAATTTCCTCAGCTATTTATCAATGACAAACTGAAGTCATTTTGCTTCAGATACTCTCCTTTTTTTCCATTTCTACGTGGAAGTACACATCATCCCTGGCATTGTCTCATTTTTTTGGCACTGGAGATAGCGAGGTGATGGAAAGCTGTGATTTCTGGAGTCTACAGGCAGAGAGCGCCAGGTGCCAGAGCTCGGAAGAAGATGGGAAGGGTAGGGCAACGTCTTGGGATTAAAAAGAAGTAGGGGAAAGTCTTCCAAGCCAGTGGCCTCCTCCTGGTGCCCCTGTTAATTTCTTCCTTATGTGTTGTCATAAACTCAGGTGTTTCAGCGTGGGGAACGCAGGGAGGGAGGAGCTGGACAGAGACGAGAACTGTCATGGGTAAGGGGACTTCCTCCTCTGTGAATCAATCTTTTTTGTTTTTTTTGTTACCGGGGATCGAACCTATGACCTCACACTTCGAGGCAAGCACGGTGCCGCTGAGCTAAACCCCGGGCCATCCTTGAATCAATCGTGATACAAGTGTGTATTCTGATGTAATTGCAGAAAAAAATCAGTGTGCCCTCCTCTCATACTGTAACGTGGGGAACCCAAGATGAGAAAACTCCCAGATCTGCCTGTCATGCCAGAGTTTTGGGCGGCTGAGGCAAGAGGATTGCAAGTGGAAGTCCTGCCTGGGCAGCTTAGCCAGACCCTGTTCTCAAAATTAAAAAAATAAGATAAAAAAGGACTGGGAGAGTGGCTCAGTGGGAGAGTTTAATTCCCTGGGTTTAATTCCTGGTACCTCAAAGGAAGGAAGGGAAGGGAAGGGAAGGGAAAGGGGAGGGGGAAGGGGAAAGGAGGATAGGAAGGGAAAGGACAGGACAGGAAAGGAAAGGAAAGAAGAAACCCTCCACGATCACGTGTCAGATGTTGTCAGTTTTCCTTGGAAGTCGCTCCAGAACCCCAGTGAGTCTTGGCTATTAAAAAAAGACAGAAAGGAGCGGGGAGAAAGAAAGAAAGAAAGACCTCTAATAACACGTGGACCCCGTGTCACGTCTTCATCACAGACTGTGAGCTGTGACTCTCCTATGAGGCACGGAGGTCAGGTCAGCGGACCTCTCCGTGCCCACCGTTCCAGGGTCGTGAGGACGGTCGAAGTCTGGACTGACCCGCGAACTCTGCCAGAGCTCCGAAAACACAGCTAACTCCACAGCTCGCATCTTCACATCATTCAGTAACAGAAGAGCCTCAGTCTGCACCACCATAAAGAGTACAAGGGGGCTCTGGGCTCCTCCTGCCGGAGGCTGAACAAGTCAGTTCTAATCTCCCCGGATTCTCAGCTTCCTTATCTGTCATCACCACTGCAGTCCCCCGGCCGGCCTGCTCACTTCCGCCCTCTCCTCCAGAGCCAACCTGGCCTCTGCTCCTGGCTCCAGCGCTCCTCAGCGCTCTGATCTCTCAGAACACAATCGCGTTGGAGTGGGGTGGTTTTCTTGGCTGCCTGACCCACTGGAGCGAGAGGACAGGTGCCCTGGAGGGCGCCTGGCCAAAGGAAGTGCTGAGTGAATGAATGAATTTAAAACTTGGAACTTGGTGTGGTGGGTGCTAGGAGGAGCGCTACAGCTGAAGGAGTCTGAGGAAGTGCCAGGGACGGGGACGAAGTAATGCTACGTCTTTGGATAGACAGCAGAGGGACTTTCAGTCAGCTTGCTGTGCTCTAACGCTCGGTCTGGCGCTGCAGTGCAGGGCTCAGAGTGAAGCCCCCCCCCAGCCTAGACCCACTTAGCTTCCAGCTGCAGTGAAAGGTGCTGACCTCCACTCTTCCAGTATGTTCTAATGGATGCTGCCAAGGCAGGGGAGATTAAAGGACCTCTCACGGTGCTCCACAGGCTGGGGAGGAGATGCACAGGTCACAGAGCACAGGGCTGGGGTGGCACAGGGTGGCGCAGGGTGGGCTGCGGCCTTTCCCCGTTGTGGCAGAGGCCCCCTTTGTTTCTGGCTGTGGCCTAACATCCTGCCTTCAGTCACAGTAGAATGTCCAAAGGGGAAAAGATAACAGCCTCGTGAATTCGATTTTTTTGTGTGTGTTCTAACCACATATAGCTTTTCATTTCAAATTGAAATTGCAGGCACAGCGTCAATGAACAGCACAATGAAAATGACAATTGTGCAACTGCTGAGCAAGGAGGGGGAGGAATACCCTTCGCAGAGGTTTCTCGGCATCTGCTCCCTCCTCCGTCGGTGGACAGACTTAGAAACTGGCCTGGTGTGTCAGCGGCCCTCTGCCAAGGCAGCCTGGCCAGGCGTACTGCCCATGACCTGCTAGGACACCGTCTGGGAAGAGAGCTAAGCTAGAACAGGCAGCACCTCACTGTGTGTGTG